CATGTTCATCTGACAGGCCCAGGGAAATGTTGCCAAGGGGTTGACGAAATTCATCAATCGTCAAGAGGTCACTTTCTGTGTCCTCTGGGGAAATGGCTCTGTGAGCCGTGCTGATGATGGGACTATTGCAAGTGGGCTTCTCCAACTCCTGGAGCTGTTTCTTCTTTAGATGTTTTGAAGAAAAACACATAGGGCATAGCTGGCCATCTGGATAGGCTTTGTCCTTTTTACATTTCAGCACTCCTGGAAAAGAAAGGGAGGTGGTCGAAGTACAGTAAGTGGAAATTCATCAAGATCAAATAAAATGATAAGCATTAGAAACAATTCTGCAACTAATTTTACTATAATGAGTTCAGTATAATCAAAAACATCCCATGCAGATGATAATAACAGTTTATGATTTCTACTACTTTTCCCTCTGAACTGATACAACATCCTATTGTTTGTTAACGACAACATGATCATCAATATTTATGATAATTACCTGGTGAATTTTTATTCCAGTCTTTGAACCACCTCATGCGACAGTCACAGGTCCAAGGGTTCCCATGCAGGGAGAGATTCTCCAGGTAGGGCATGCCTGCTAGCATCCTCTGTGACAAAGTGGTCAGTAAATTATCAGACAGGTACAGGTGTTTCAGGGTGGAAACTGGGAAGTGTCCAAGAATAGAGAAAGTGGAGAAGGTGGCTGGGTGGAGCTGCTGAAGTTGATTGCCCTCCAGTTGGAGAAGGCGAAGAGACGTGAGGCCTTGGAATGCATTGGGGTGGATGAACTTAAGTCTGTTGTGATCCAGGTGCAACCTAGTGAGACTCCAGAGACCCACAAAGGTCTGTCTGCTAATTACCTTCAGTTTATTATAGCTTAGTTTCAGCATCTGCGAAGAAAGAGGCATTTTGTCATTTCATTGCAATAGTTGTTCCATAAATATATTAAGTGTCATTGCGAACAGTAGTACAACAAAAAAAGTACAGAAATAATACATTTTCAAAGGAAAAAGTTGACAGTACCTGAAGGGATATGAGGTCACGGAATGTTCCATCAGGAATTTGATGCACATCATTGCCATGCATTAAAAGAAGCTCCAGTTTTCGTAACCCAGCGAAAGAGCTGTAAGTTATTCTATGTATAGTATTAAACCTGAATGAAGGAGGGACATAAGAAGGGGTGAATAAGATTAAGGTTAATTATGCAATGATGTTGCAGATTTACTTTAAAAAAATTTAATCAATTTCAATGGGGAAGAACAGAGCTTGTTTTCAGAAGGCTATACAGTTTTGAATTAAAAGCCTAATTGCATAAATATGTATTTTCTCCACCAGGGAGATTTGTTTCAAATGCCTAGTTATTATAATTAAATAATTTAAAAAAAAAGTGAATTATGTCATGCCCTACCTGGTGAATATCATATTTTTGTAATTGCTGTTGGGTAAACAAGTGAACACAATAAAACCACACTTACATACATGGGTCAGCTAAGCTGATTATAACTTAAAGTTTGAACTTCGTTCCCAGGAACAAAATGTATTTTTTATAAATTTTTTAGTCAGGGCAAGTTGTCCTATATGTATTTTTATTTAAAAAACATATACAATTTATTATTTACAATAATTCTAGTTTAAAACTATGGTTTGTTATTTTGTTCATTACATATTAAATTGTTGCTTAATAAATTAATTTGTTCAACAATCATTTTGCTGTTTTTATTTAATTTTTATTTAAAAATAGACTGGTGACAGGTATTGCATCATTACGTGAAAAATAATGTGTTTTTTTAACTTTAAACCGCATAAACACATTTCATTACACCAAATACACAAAATAATGTTCTTTTTAGCAGCATCATATGACCCCTTTAAATTTCTTGTGCAATAACAGTAGAAATGTACCTTTATAACTAAGTTAAGTTTTTATGTAGAAATGGAAAGAAAAGTGTGACAACTAGTCTGTCACCCCCAAAGTACCATCTCAAATCCTCCCTGGGAGAGTCCTAAACATTCTGAATAGTTGAAGGTCACCTGTAAAATGGTCGAAATATCCCTGGCATTTAACATCATCAAGGGAAATTCCCACTAACCTACAAATGAACCCACTTGGATTAAATGTCTTAAAACAACGAGAAATGAAACCCAGTTTCAGCATGTTTCGATGACCTGTATGATAATCTTTACAAGATAAATCACTTTTGGAAGTGGGTGTGCTAAAGTGTTCTTTTAAGAAAGCTGATATCAGAAAACGAAAAGAGAGAGAAAAAAAGCAATGCCTAAGAATAATAAACTGACGACACAATCATTCTTACCCCAAATTCATCCGCTCCACCTGTTTGGGCACGCCAGCAGGCACCGTGAGTAAAGAGCGGAACGTGCAGTGAACCTCTGCGGGCTGCTGGCAGGCACATGGCCGTGGGCAACACCGTACCACTACAGGCAGTGCTACCATCACCAGCATCAACAAAACCTGAGCATAAAAGCGACCCATCTTCAGCTCCACAGCAGCAAACACCTTAAACTGCAGAAAGACGCAAAAGCTGAAGCGGCATATTACAAAATACTGTCAGACATTTCCCCCCGTGACTTCTAATACATAAGATAACAAAATCTTGGTGAAACTATATTCATTTAAACTTGAAATAAAGAAATCGGTGTTAAATGTCACGTTTATTTTTAATCTCCCTTACGAAAATTAACCATGATTTTACTACAAAAAAAACCATGGTTACTATAGTTAAACTATAACCAGCCTGTAGTTAAATAGTAACCACAAATTAACCATGGTTTTGCTACACTAACCATAGTTTAACCATGGTATTTGAAGTAAAACTGTTTATATGAATTGTAATCAGTAGGCTACGCCAAAAATAAAATAAATACAATCATGGTTACTACACTTTTACTATAGTAAAACCATGGTTAATTTTAGTAAGGGTAACAATTGAATTCTTGCTTAAAAATAAGTAAGCGAGCGCAGCTGAAATATTGCACTCAGATTCATTCATTCATTCAAGAAAAGGGAAAGAGCAAACCTTTATTGTTAACTTCAAGGAGATCATTCCATTTACAATCCGGCATGGTTTTGGTCCACAGAACCCTTCAAAACTGCATTTTCAAGGATCATGTGATCATGTGAGTCCATTTACTTCAGGCAGCAAATTCTCCACTGATGATGAAAAGCTGAAAATGTTTTCATTCAGGTTTCAAGTTTTTATTTCTTGTCGTTTTTCTTCCTAATCCGAAATTAATCCAATTGGTTGTTTTCTGATGAGGGGGGACACAAAAACAATATAACTCACTAAAATCTTAAAGAAAGAGAAGAGCAATCCAGCTGTGAAGCTTCGCGTTCTGTTGGAAACGTGAGAATGGAACTTTCAGCTGGCGGTGGCTCGCGTGGATGCGTCTGCGCAAAGAACTCAGGGCTCGGGGGAGTGACCGACCGTGAGCCTTTTACACGCGTTCCTGAATGTAATTTTTGGACGACGCGAGGAGCACACCGCCCAGGCAAAAGGTACTGCATTAACCCCTCAAGTTAGAGGGGAGAGAAAAATGCTTGTTAATTATATCGCATTGGACTTAAACATCACTGACTTTTTGTTTTGTTTTTACACTTGGGTTGTTCCTGGTCTACAAAAATGCTTATACATTTCTCATTATACTATATTATTACCAAAAATGAGATGCAATCTTTTTTGTTGATCTGAGCTTATGCAACTCAGTTTTTGAGTGAACATTGCCAAAATTATATATATTTTTTACTCACAAATTGAGGCGTATAAGTTCAGATAATTGAGGCCTAAGTTCCAAAAAGAAATACAAAACGTGCGCTATTGAAAAGATAGTGATAATATAGCACAATGAGAGATTTACAAACACATTTTAAAAGGGAAGTCATTTTTGACCAGCAACACCAAATTAGGTACAGGATTCTCAGCACAGTTTAAGGGTTAATGTCAATTCTGTGTTAAAACCTGGCCAGTATCTCCACAAACAAGAACATGTTGTTTATGGTAGCTTTGAAATTACTGCATCTCCCCACTGTGATTTTTCCATGCTGTTTTGACTCTTAAAGGTTCCGGCTCTGTATAAGTAAAGGTTACACAGAGTTCAAAGCCTTGTTATTTCCCTTCTAGACCTTGGTCCTCCATGCCATTCACAGACAAACACACACACATACACATACCGTGTGTACTCTAAACTGATGCATGAAGTCCCCTGAGTTCACAAGGCACCTTGAAGCATTTAGAGAAGAAAATGCAGGGGGCTGGCAAGGGCAAAGGTCACAAGCTTCTGCCCATGTTATTGACCACTTGGGAGATTCCATACATCACGTCATGTCATTTCAAGCAGAAAGCACACCTGTTTGAAAATGATATGTACGTACATGCAGTCATCTTCAGTGATGGAAATAGAGGTATTGAGCATATACAGATTGTGATCATGATAAGACAAGAATCCAAAACAAAATATAATCACCATCTTCAAGAAAGGAACTTCCTTTGTTAGGGAGATCATCCCATTTAAACAGTTTAATTCTCATTTGTTTGTTTATGGAGGTTTTATCAACAATAAATCATTGATATTTTTAGTAGTAGAATAAATGACTATAAAATCTTATACTAATAAATGACAAATTAAAAATAAATTAAGATTTTTATTCAACAAGAATGCATTTTTACTGCAATTCTTGGCAATAAGATCTTACCAACCCAAGAACATTAGTGTGCATTTTGTAAATAAATATATATATATATATATATATATATATGTGTGTGTGTGTGTGTGTGTAAAACGCAACAAGACTGAAAATGTTCCACAGTGACTGGTTTTTTCAGAGATCACATTTACACATTCTTCAAACAACATGCTCAACTAATTTTCAATTAATGTTTGGTGACCTCCACATGTCATTCATTTAAAGGGGTCATATGATGCTTTTTTTAAAGATCATTATTTTGTGGATTTGGTGTATGTATTGTATGTATGGTTACATGCTTTAATGTTCAAAAAACACATTATTTTTCAAATACTGTACATTATTGTAGGTCCTCTATGCCCCACCTCTCTCAAACGCTTCGTTTTCTACAAAGTCCCGCCTTCCGACAAGCGCAGTCTGCTCTGATTGGCCAGCTGACCCAGTGCATTGTGATTGGCCGAACACCGCAAGCACTCGTCGGAAATGTAACGCCTCTTACCATAATCGCAAGCTTCATCTTTCAAAATAAATGTAAAGATAGAGCCCGAAAGGGGTACAGAGTCGCGTGACATAATAACTTTGATAAAGAATATCTCTTTGGTTTTGAGACTTTAGTCTTTGCAACTTCAGGGATCTTATCTATGCACAATCAGCTTGTAACACTCCAAAGAGAAAGGAAAACTTGAAATCGCATCATATGACCCCTTTAATAGCAGAATAACTTCTAAACATAGTGAAAGAACCTGATGTCAGAATCTTTTAACAACTGACTGAGTGGTTAAAAAAAACAGGCCTCTCTTTAAAATGTCTCACGCTTTGCCACAGACCAGGCATACACCACAGTCACGCTGAATGGTCTTTCAATATACTTCTGCTGTGGTCAGGTGAAATAGTGCACATGGAGCAGACTTGGGAGTTCATCCTCCATCACCTTTGATGCACACTGAACAGGCTCTCATTAAGCATGAGTCAACCTCAATTTTCCAAAACTCCAGTATGATGACGTTCTAGGGCTATGGCTAGCATAATGTGCACATTTTATAGGAGAAATACTAAAGGTGGAATCCTAAGTATACTATGGAATTTTTTTGTTTTTGTTTTTATACTAAAACCCATACGTTAATGATATAGATAGATATATATATATATATATATATATATATATTATATTTGCATTTATAGAATT